GAGGTAACTATGGGGAGGAAGTGGGAGGGGAGCTGTTGCATTGTAAACTGTGGTCAGTGACATGAGACAAAGTGTATGTGAACTGCTGTATAGAAAGTGAATTTACTCTGTAAATCTTCATCCAAATCACAATAAATAAAATAAAATTAAAAAAAAAAAGAAAAAGTAGATTGCCTCATCTTCCTTTCATGGAGTGGCTGGTGGAGTGGAACCACCAATGTTCTGGTTGGCAGTCAGATGCAGTTTTGGTTCTCTAGTGCTGCTCTAACAAAAAACCGCAAGTGGGTGGCTTTAACAAACATTTATTCTCTTACCATTTTAGGAGGCTAGAAGTCCGAGTTCAAAGTGCCAACTCTAGGGGTTGGATGAAGGCTCCTCGACCTTGAGCTTCTGCTCTGCCTCTTGCTCCCAGCCCACTGAAGCTGGAGGCTTCTCTTAGACAGCTGCTGGCTGCTGAGGCTGACAAACCCAAGGTCAACAAATAAAATGGCACAGTCCCAAAATTATCAAGCAACACAGGAGGCCCACTAGTTCCAGTCCAGAAACAGTCTCAGGATTGACAGACAACATGGCAGGCCACTGAGATGAAGACTTGGCCAAATATATGAGCCAGATGTGCCAAAAGCTAGAGACCTTTCTCAAGGCTGCTTCTTACATACTGGAAGCAGACCACATCCCTGAGGCAGCTACTCAGCTGCTCACAGTAGATTCCACCATGGAGTTGATTACCAGTCTCATCACAGGGAATACTACATCCGGCTGCCCTCAACCAGGCCCAACCAAGTTGACACATAACCTTAACTATACCACGGATGCCTTAGGCACTGTACCACCAGAGCACATGCCAAAGATTATTTAGTTCATTAATGAGGGAGCCAGAAGATGGCAAAGCTGGTGTAAAGGTAAATACTGCTCTATAGGACAAATATGGCAGTAAATCTCAACCTTTGGGGTTTTGTTTTCTACCAGAAGAAATCACGTACATCTCTACCAGACTAAAATTATTTATACTTTTTCACTCTTCTATCTACAAGTCATCATCTAACTTTGGAGTTAAGTAGTAAGCAAGCAGTGTTACTTTCCCTGGAGCAGGGGTTGGAAAACCTATAGTCTGTGGGTCAGGTGCCTGTGTTTTTGTAAATAAAGTTTTGTTAGAGCACAAACACATCCTCTTTTTTTGTTTTTTCTTTTTCAACTTTTTTACTGTGATTTAGTGCAAATTGGTTTTCTGTTCAATTCATGTACATTTTATTTCATGGTGTTGATTGTAACAAGTACATTTATTCAGTTATGTATTGTCCATGAGGATTCATGTTACTGTGGCAGAGTTGAGTAGTTGTAACAGATACCATATAGCCTGCAAGCCTAAAATATTTTTTTCTCTAGTTCATTGCAGAAAAATTTTCCTCCCTTTGCCCTAAGAGTGTCATGTGACCCTTAGTGGACTGCTTAGACAATATTACATTAGAAGGACATGTAGAATCTTTTTGTCTTTTTTCCCCCCTAAATTTTAGATAATTTTTATTAGTGCTATAGAGTGGAATTTACAGTCTAGAGAAACATCACCTCGGTATCCTTTCTTCTTGTCACTTTTGTGTATGTCCCTTGTCACCAGATGCTTAATAAAGTTTGGTCTGTAGATTGTTCTCTTTACATTTCTGATATAAACATCTTTCTGTCATTTTTCTTCTACAGATAAGACTTAACATGATCAGAACAACATACTTAAATATTTAAGTATTGGATTTTTATGTAACAAGTTGCTCTTTTGTTTCCTAAAGTAGTGGCATTTACTTCTCTGTTGCAGCATTCTTGAGACCTTATACTGCACAGGATGCTCACTCCAGCTTGGCTACATATACAGATGTACACCCAAGAATCTTGATTTTAAGAGAGACTTGTTTTGCCTCAATGTTGAGGCCATTGAGAGGTAAGTCTAATATATATTATGTGTACCTCATGACTGGGAGCTCTGGTGGCGTAGTGCCTAAGGTATTTGAATGCTAACCAGAAGGCTGGCTGTTTAAACTCACCAGCCACTCTTTGGAAGGAAGATTGGACAGTCTACTTCCATAGTGATAATGCCTTGGAAACCCAAGGAGGGGTTGCTGTGAGTTGGATCCTACTTGATGGCAGTGAGTTTGGGTTTTTTTGTTTTTTGCCTTATGACTAATTTCTCAGTAAAGTTAGATTTGCAGAGAAATTGGTGTTGAGAATATCAGAACTAAATCAATATTGTTTGTTTAAAATATACCTTCAAGTAATAATTTCTGGCAATAAAGCTAGTGTTTTGTTTTTTTTTTACAACCTGATTCATTTTGTATAAAGGAACTCTGGTGATATAGTGGTTAAGGCGTTTGGCTGCTGACCAAAAGGTCAGTGGTTCGACCCACCAGTGGCTCCGCAGAAGAAAGGTGAAGCGGTCTGCTTCTGTAAAGCCTTGGAAACCCAGTGGGGGTTGCAATGTGTTGAAATGGACTCAGTGGTAGTGAGTTTGGATTTTTGGTATTTAGTGTAGGAAAAGTCATATATTCTAAATTAAAGGGAGAAAATACCAAGAAATTTTTTTTTGCAGTAAAAATATGTTCAACTTGTTTTTAAAATTCAAATTTAGTATAAATTATTTTTGAGCAGTGTAGATCAATACATGCTATCCGTTTTACTGTTTTCCCCAGTTTATAACCTCCTAAAATACCATGTAGAAATAGGTATTTCAAAACTGGTGAGGAAAAGAAGTCCTTTTGATATTGTGAAAAGTAACAATAGAAAGTCTAATTATTTCTAGTAGTAAAGAATCATCTGCCTTTTTGAGAGATGCAAGGAAATGCATTTTTGCTCTCCAGAAAAGTAAGTGTTCTAAAAAATGTTAAGGAAACAAGGTAAATTGGTGACTGATGACAGATGTCAGCTAAACTATTTCAGATGTTTTAGCAGCCTTCTAGTTCATTGGCCTTCGTTTATAGGAAACAAGTATGACAAAATTAAGTCAGTCAGTCAACCCCAAGTGTATTTTTGCTTATCTTGGCAAATATGTACCCTTTAAGACTTTAGGATGCCTAAGACACCTTACATGCCAGGAAAAAAGAACAACTTAAGATGGCTGTGGGTTGGTTTATAGTTCGGTTGTATTTCTTAGATTTTTTTGTTTTGGAAATTTAAAAACAGTATTCTTTTTAGTAGATGTATGATTTATCTTGCAGTTATTCCTTGATAACTGCAGTTTTGCCGTTTTGATAACTGGACAGGTTGGATGAGATCAAAATTTTAAAATCTGCAAACTTTTTAGAACTTTTACACAAAAGAATAATAGGTACTGTTCTTTCTCCTGGAGAAAAGTGTAGGTCTGTCTGGAAAGAGATTGGATCTATTTTTATTAAAGTATATGAATAGAAGACTCAGGCCCAAAGAAATGTTCTCTTAATTTCCAGGAGAATTTACCAAGGTTTATGAAAATGAAGTAAAAGAGAGTATAAGTATGAAAGATAGGGAATCTCAATCTAGTAGGTTTGGTACAAAACTTTTAAAAGTGATATTGGCTGCACAAGAGAAAAACATGTGGAAGATTTTGCACAGGAGGTTATTTTTCCTGAGAGTTAATTTAGGGTAGAAGTTACCTGTTGGATCAGTATTTTCATGCCTGGTTTGTTTTAGAAGTGGATGCCCTTGAGAATGTTTATCTATAGTTTTATAAATTACCTCATTGCCATTTAATTTTCCTATCTCATCTCACTTTTTTTTTTTAAACACAGTATTAATTACTTTCTGCTTAGCATGCTATTTTTCAGGAATATAGCCCATAGGGTTTCTAAACCAAAAAAAAACTAGACTCACTGCCATCAAGTTGATTCCGATTCATAGCAACCCCTCCTTGGGTTTCTGAGGTGGTATCTCTATGGAGGTAGATTGCCCAGTCTTCCTCCCAAGGAGTGGCTGGTGGGTTTCAACCGCCAGCTTCTGGTTAACAGTCAGAGCTTAGGCACTATGCCACCAGAGCTCCCAGGGTTTCTGAGGGAAACTTGTTTTCTTATTTGACAAAAGAAGTGACACATTGAAGTTGCTATATACAGGTTATATTTGTAAAGAAATGCAAAAGAGTCAAGTTTTCTTTTGTGAAATACTGTCATCTTCTTCCTTATAGTTTGGATTTGGATTTGATTGCCAACATTTGGCCTGCTTTACCCCTATCGCTAGACCAGTTTTTGCACTATTCAGTACTCTCTGGACCACAGCATCCCATGCTATTAGTCTACCCTGTGACCCTAGAGAGTTGAGCAAAACATCACTTGATCGGTAACTGTTGGGCTTGCCCATATCTGGGAAGACAAAGCAGTGTATCCATGGCTTCTTCAGGATCTTTTAACTTGCCTTTAGAATTTTGAACTATGAGTGTCGTTGCTGTACCATCCAACTTATTAAAGAGCAAGTTTATTGTCAATAATGAGAAACGTGTAGGAAAATCTGAACAAAGCTATTATGATACTAATATATAGTATAATACACTTAAGAATTTTAATGCTGTTAACTAACATACACTTAATATTTGGTCCTTTTTCATACTTTTAACTTTCTGCTGTATTACAGTTATATTTTAGGATCTTCTGAAAAGCAAATTGTGTCAGAAGATAAAGAGCTTTTTAATCTTGAAAGCAGAGTTGAGATAGAAAAATCTCTAAAACAGGTAACTTTACTCGGCAAGATTTATATCTCTGTATGAACATCCTCTTGTTAGTGAACAAAATGTTCCTCCAAAAATAATAATTCTCATGTCTTTTTGATTTTAGCACTTTTATGTTAAGAGAGTGCTTATTTTATTTCAGTTATTAGTAAAGTTGATATTTTGGGAACCAAACTACATATTAAGCTAAGCTTTACTAACAAAGTCATAAGACATTTCATGCCAGAATCAAAACTGAATATATCCTAAAACTACTGAACTGGAATTAGTGTATCTTGGGGTGAAGTCAGTATCTATTTGGTTCATTTCCCTTGGTACAAACAGCCTTATTTTGATACAGTATTTTTTCATGGCAAGAATAGTTGGTGATGATGAATATGTAGAAGAGCTGTGGATTGCAGGTTGGGGATCACTGCCAATAAAATTATGTCTAATTTAAAGAAAATTTAGTTTATGTCTATAAGTAACTTCATTAGACAAAACACTGAATGTTTCCTATGTTTGAAGCATAGCATGTTCAAAAATTGCATTAAGGATATATATTTTTAATGATTTAATCCTGTATATTTTTAGTCATTATATATTTATTTTTTTATGTGTGTGTGTGTTTATATTCTTTTTCAATTTTTCAATTCAATAGATGGAAGATGTTTTGAAAGCATTAGAAATGCAGCTGAGGGAAGTTGAGTCAAAATTGTTCTCCACCAAAAGCTGAAATTTTTTCCACGTCCTCCCTTCTGGATTCCCCTGCCACCCCTGCCTGGATGATTCTTTCATGTGTAATAATTCCTGTAATCATTTCATTTCACTGAAAACTGAAGGACTTTTAAATGGCCATGTACATGGTATTCTTTTGTATTGGTTGAGTGAAAAGAATTGCAGAATTGTATTCACAGTTATATTTGATGGTAAAGAGGGGATTGTTCCCAAATTTGAATTTTAAAACCATTTTTATGATATTTACTACAATTGGAATTTAGGAATTTATTTTGCTACAAATTGTATAATTTTCTGAACTGTTTCCTCTATCTAACTCATTATTCCTCATTTCCTTTTTCTTTTTTTTTGTTAACCATACTTTTAACCCTTTGGACAATATTTAATACTGAACAGGAAGAACATCGTAGGTTTTTTCCACCCGAGATGTGGTTGGATCTTTGAAAACTAATGCATGAACCACTTTTGAGAACCAGTGGTTGGTAGAATTACTTGTCAGAACCATTTGGAAACTTGTACAAGGGCAGAATAACATGTATGTGTAGGAGTCCACTTAATCCTGTTTGTTATTTTATTTGCCAATATGCTTAAAAAAGTCTGTAAGAATATTTACCAAGGAGAGTAGTGGTCATTTGTGAACATGGGTTTCTGGAGGAATTTTCAATTTCTTAGTTTTGTATTATACATGAATTTTATAATAAATATGTTATTTTTATAATCATGAAGAGAATAAAGACTAAAGCAAAGTGCTTTACGATAGATGTTGATAAGACTGAATTGTGGGATTTCATTGAGACCAGAGATCATGGTGGTATGAATCTACCCATTGTAGACCTGCTCAGGAAGAGAAAGAGAACCATTAGTTTCTTGAGGCCCCTTTCCAGTTCTGGGTACATAACAGTAGTGCTTGGTATTTATGAATAACTGGCTCCCCATCTGCTCAGAATTTTCCTAATTATTTCTGAGAATATTTAAAATCATAATAGCAGAAGTGCCTAAGTTAAATTGACTTGATCATTCATGATTATTGAGTTCTTTTTTGATAGATTGTCAGCCACCTTATTAATTAGAAGGTGGTAAGCTCCCTAGGTCTCTTCCCTCACAAACTTGCTACCAGGTGGAATATGGTACGGTAAGAGCAAGTATCAACTCCCACGGCCAACAAGACAGTCCTCCTGCCTCTAGATGAGACCCCAGGGGCCTGGCTTCTTAGGCACTTTGGTGACACCTGGCATGAAAGTCCGTCCAGAACAGATGGGACAGTACTTTGGCAGCAAGAATCAGATGACCTTCTGGTTGGAGCAGGTTACAGAATACTCTAATAATTGTGTTTAGGTACCATTCCAAAGAGCCAGTTTGGCTTTCTAATTCCCTTAAACCCTTTTGTACTAGTCCAGGACCAAAAAAAAAAAGACAAACTCACTGCCATTGTGTCGGTTCCAACTCACAGTGACCTCTATTGGGTTTCCGAGGCTGTAAATCTTTAGGGAAGTAGATTGCCCCATCTTCCTTCCATGGAGCGGCTGGTGGGTTTGAACTGCTGAGCTTCTGCTTAGTGGCCACATGCCTTATCCACTATGCCACCAGAAACTGTACAATATTTCTAGCCAATGTACATGTCTGAAAACTACTCATTTCCCCAATGGAAGCTAATTTCTAATATCCATAGTGATAATTCACAAAGTCTTCAATATTGGCTCAATATCTTCAACCAAAACCAGGCCAGGAGCTGATTATGGAACAGACCATCAACTGCTCATATGCAAATTCCACTTGAAGTTAAAGACAATTAAAACAAGTCCA